CTGCTATAATATTTATTATTTACCTTCTTCTGCTGGTTTTAGGCTTTAGTTGCTGTTTCTTTTCTAGATCCTTTAGGTGTAAGGTTAAGTCGCATATTTGACATTTATTGCTTCTTGAAGTAGGCCTGTATTGCTATATACTTCCCTCTTAGGACTGCCTTGCTGTATCCCAAAGGTTTTGGACTGCTGTGTTTTCATTGTCATTTGCTTCCATGTACTTTTTTTTATTTCATCTTTAATTCCTGGTTAACCCATTCATTCTTTAGTAGGATCTTCTTTTTCTAGTTATGTTTTTCTTTAAATCCAAATTAATTAACATATAGTGTAATAATGATTTCAGGAATAGAATTTAGTGATTCATCACTTACATATAAAATAGAGTGTTCATCCCAACAAGTGCCCTCCTTAATGCCCATTGCCCAGTTAGCCCACCCCCCCACTCAACACCTCACCAGCAACCCTCAGTTTGTTCTCTATATTTAAAAGTCTATTATGGTTTTTCTCCCTCTCTGTTTTTATCTTATTGTTGCTTCCCTTCCCCTGTGTTCATCTATTTGGTTTCTTAAATTCCACATATGAATGAAATCATATGAAATTTGTCTTTCTCTGACTGACCTATTTCACTTAGCATAGTACACTCTGGTTCCATCCACATTGTTGCAAATGGTAATAGTTCATTCTTTTTTATTGCAAAGTGATATTCCATTGTATATATATATATATATATACCACATCTTCTTTGTCCATTCATCAATTGATGGACACTTGGGCTCTGTCCAAACTTTATCTACTGTTTATAGTGCTGCTATAAACATTGGGGTGCATGTGCCCTTCAAATCAGCATTTTTGTATCCTTTGGATAAATACCTAATAGTGCATTTGTTGGGTCATAGGATAGTTCTTTTTTTTTTTTTTTTTTTTTTTTTTTTTTGAGGAAGCCTCCATTCTGTTGTCCAGAGTGGCTGTACCAGTTTGCATTTCCACCAACAGTGCAAGAGGGTTCTCATTTCTCTGAATCCCTGAAAACATCTGTTGTTGCCCAAGTTGTTAATTTTAACCATTCTGACAGGCGTGAGGTAGTATCTCATTGTGGTTTTGATTTTTATTCCCTGATGATGTGTGACATTCAGCATCCTTTCATATCTTTCTTTGCTATCTGGATGTATTCTTTGGAAAAATATCCATTCATGTCTTCTGCCCATTTCTTCACTGAATTATTTGTTTTTGTGTGGGGGGGGGGTGTTGAGTTTGATAATCTCCTTATAGATTTTTGGATACTAACCCTTTATCAGATATGTCATTTGCAAATATCTTCTGTCATTCTGTCAGTTACCTTTTAGTTTTGTTAATTGTTTCCTTCACAGTGCAAAAGCTTTTATCTTGATGAAGTCCCAATAGTTTATTTGTGCTTTTGTTTCCCTTGCCTCCAGAGACATATCAAGTAAGACATTGCTGCCACTGAAGTCAAAGAGGTAGTTGCCTGCTTTCTCCTCGAGGATTTTGATGGCTTCCTGTCTTACATTTAGGTCTTTCACCATTTGAGCTTATATTTGTGTATGTTGTAAGAAAGTGGTCCAGGATCATTCTTTTGCATGTCGCTGGATACTTTAGTAGGATGTTCTTTAACCTCCATGTATTTGTGGAGGTTCAACATATTTCTTGTGGTTGACTTCAACTTTTAAAGTGTTGTGGTCTGAAAATATGCATGGTATGGTCACAATCTTTTTGTGTGCTTGTTGAGGTCTGGTTTATGACCCAGAATGTGATCTATTCTGGAGAATGTTCCATGTGCACTCGAAAAGAATGTCCACATGGAATTCTACTGCTTTAGGACGAAATGTTCTGAATATATTTGTTAAGTCCATGTGGTCTATGGTGTCCTTCAAAGCCATTGTTTTCTTGTTGATTTTCTGCTTAGATGATCTTTCCATTGCTATAAGTGGGATGTTAAAGCCCCCTACTATTATTGTATTATTATCAGTGACTTTCTTTATGTTTGTTATTAATTGATTTATGTTTTTTGGTGCTTTCAAGTTAGATACATAAGTATTTATAATTGTTAGATCTTCTTGATGGGTAGACCCCTTAATTATGATACAGTGCCCTTTTCATCTCTTTTTACAGTCTTTGGTTTAAAATCTAGTTTGTCTGATATAAGTATGGCTACTCTGGCTTTCTTTTGATGTCCATTAGCATGATAGATACTTCTACATCTCCTTACTTTCAATCTCTCCATATCTTTAGGTCTAAAATGAGTTTCCTGTATGCAGCATATAAATGGATCTTATTTTTTTTTATCTATTTTGATAACATATCTTTTGATTGGAGGATTTAGTCTATTTACAATCAGGGTGATTATTGAAAGATATAAGTTTAATACCATTATGTTATCTGTAAAGTTGGTGTTTCTGGTGATGTTCTCTGTTCCTTTCCAGTCTTTGTGACTTTTGGTCTTTTCTCCCCCCATGCAAAGAGTCCCCCTTAGTATTTCTCATAGACCTGATTTAGTTGTCATGAATTTCTTTAGTTTTTTGTTTTTGTTTTTGCTCCTTCTATTCTGAACAACAGCCTTGCTGGATAAAATCACCTTGGCTCCATATATTCCCACTCAGCACATTGAATATATCCTGCCACTCTCTTCTAGCCTGCCAAGTTTCTATGGACAGATCTGCTGCAAACCTGATCTGTCTTCCCTTGTAGGTTAAGGACTTTTTCTCTCTTTCAGCTTTCAGAATTCTTTCCTTATCTGAGTATTTTGTGAATTTGTGAATTCTTTCCTTGTCTGAGTATTTTGTGATTTGATATGCCTTGGAGATGGTTGGATTTGTTGAGTGGGAGTTATCTGTGCTTCTTGGGTTTTGATGTCTGTCCTTCCCCAGATTAACAAAGTTTTCAGCTATAATTTTTTGAATAAGCCTTCTGCCCCTCTTTCTCTCTCTTTATCTTCTCGGATTCCTATGATACAAATGTTTTTCCATTTCAATAAGTGGATGAGATCCCCAACCTACTTTCACGATCCATTACCTTTGTTTCCCTCTTCAGCCTCATTATTTTCCATTATCTTAAGTCTTTTTTTATGTTTTTAAATGTTTATTTATTTTTGAGAGAAACAGAGCACAAGTCGGGGAGGGGCAGAGAGAGAGGGAGACACAGAATCCAAAGCAGCTCCAGGCTCTGAGCTGTCAGCCCAGAGCCCAACACAGGGCTTGAACTCACAGACTGCAAGATCATGACCTGAGCTGAAGTCGGACACTTACTGACTGAGCCACCCAGGGACGCCTCCATTATTTATCTTTAAATCACTGATTCATCCATCCTTGCTGTTATGGCCTCCATTCAGGTTTGCATCTCAGTTACAGCATTTTTTATTTTGGCCTGATTAGATTTTAGCTCTTTTATCTCTGCAGTAAGGGATTCTCTAGTGTCTTCTATGCTTTTTTCAAGCCTATCTAGAATTTTTATAATTGTTTTAAATTCTAGTTCAGACATCTTACTTATATTTTTATTGATTAAATCCCTGGCTATCATTTCTTCCTGTTCTTTTTTGGGGTGAATTCCTCCATCTTGCCATTTTGGAGGAAAAATAATAATAATAATAATAATAATAAAATAAAAATTTTAGATCTCAGGTATGTTTTGGTATGCTTGTTAAGAGAAGCTCGAGAGAAAAAAGAAAAAAATTAAAAACATAATAAAATAAAATAAAGTTTTCCTTTTCTGGATCTAAGAAAAAACAAAAGCAACAACAGAAAGAAACAAAATAAAACAAACAAAAAACCCAAAGGAAGCTAGTTCCTGTTTTCCCTAGGGCTGAAGCTTTGTAGCACTCTATGATCAGTAGACTTAGTGAATGAAAGGGGTTTGTGCTGATCCTCTCGGGGAAGAACCTGCTGCTCTGATTCTCCAGTGGATATGCCCTAATGGAGATGTGCCTATAGGGCGCAGCAGTGTGGGGCTCGGTGTAATGGCTCCTCCATTCTCCACTTGGTGGCACTGTTTAGCTCACTGAGGTGATTTTTGCTGGTGGGTTAGGGATGAAAGTGGTTTTGCCCCACTCTCTAATCTCCAGAACAAAAAGTTTGCACCCTCACAGATGCACAAAACAATCACCCCTCCTGTGACCCAACTACTATCAGATCCCCACTTTCACCCTGTACTTGACCAAATTGTTCACCTGACTAGGCAGCACTACCCTCCTAGGTTTTATCCCAGGTATGGTTATGTTTCAAAATCCCATACTTCAGAGATTCCTGCGGCTTGGACCCACACTGAGGGGCTGCTGAACTGTGGCTAGTGCCAGATTGTCCCAGAAAACAGTTGAGTGACCATGCAAAGACTCGGGGTTTATGGTAAATTGCAACCTGGTGTGAGGGTTTACTGCCCTCAGCTGGCATCTTTGTTCCTATACCAGTGAATGGGGCAGCTCTATGGTGCCTGCTGGGTCCTTTACCCATGGAGAGGCCCTATCGCCTCTAGAAAATACATTTCTCCCCATGTGACTCAGGGAATCCTCACACTGAGCTGCCCTTTTCTGGGACCCTGTCCTGCTTCCTCACCAGAGCACTGCCAGATGCTGATCTCAAAAAATTCAGACTCTGTCCTCTGTTTATTAAAAAAAAAAAAACGGACAATATTGAAACCCTTTCCTTTTTCTCTGTAAATGGTTTTGGGGAAAAGTTTTCTTGGGCAATCCTTTGCACATGTTTTCATTTTTCCCCCACTCTTTCTCTCTCTTTCTCTCTAGCTCATCTCTCTGAAGTCAGGCTCCCTCCTCACTGAAGCACCTACAGCTCTTTTCTCCCACAGATCAATTCTCTACAGTTCCTAACTTCCATGGGTCATTTTTTGTAGACGTGCATCTTTGTTCTCTACTTCGATTTTTTGGGTGTTCAGAATGATTTGATATTTACCCAGCTGTTTAGGGGAGGAAGTAAGCTTAGGGTTGTCCTACTCCTCCACCATCTTAACCCCTCTCTCTGTTTATTGTTTGAATTATGGTGATAGTTTCTAATATATCTATATATTTGTATCTCAATTTATATTGTATGCTTTAAATTTGTACAGTTTATTATATGTCAATTATGCCTCAATAAAGCTCTTTTTAAGAATATTTTTAAAAAGAGAAGGTGACAAAGGGTGATAATGAACAGCAAGGGGAAAAAAAGTCCCTAACATTCAAGGGAAGAAGATCAGGTTTGCAACAGACCTATCCATAGAAACTTGGCAGGCCAGAAAGGAGTGGCAGGATATATTCAGTGTGTTGAATCAGAAAATCATGCAGCCAAGAATTCTTTAACCAGAAAGGCTGTCATTCAAAATAGAAGAAGAGATAAAAATTCTTCCAGACAAACAAAAATTAAAGGACTTTGTGACCACTAAACCACCCCTGCAAGAAATTTTAAGGGGGACTCTCTGAGGGGAGAAAAGAGGGAAAAAAAAAATATATATATATATATATACATACATATATATACACATATATACCAAAAGCAACAAAGACTAGAAAGGACCAGAGAACACCACCAGAAACTCCAACTCTACAAGCATCATAATGGCAACAAATTCATATCTTTCAGTACTCACTTTAAACATCAATGGACTCAATGCTCCAATCAAAAGACATAGGTTAACATAATGGATTAGAAAGCAAGATCCATCTATATGCTGTTTACAAGACACCCACTTTAGACCTAAAGACACCTTCAGATTGAAAATAAGGGGATGGAGAACCATCTATATTGCTAATGGTCAACAAAAGAAAGCTGGAGTAGCCAGACTTATCATAAAATATAGACTTTAAAATAAAGACTGTATCAAGAGATGCAGAAGGGCATTTTATCATAATCAAGGGGTCTATCCACCAAGAAGACCTAACAATTGTAAACATTTATGTGCCAAATGTGGACGAACCCAAATACATAAATCAATGAATCACAAACAGAAAGAAACTCATCAATAGTAATACCATAATAGTAGGAGACTTCAACACCCCACTCACAACAATGGACAGATCATCTAATAAAAAAATCAACAAGAAAACAATGGCTTTGAATGACACACTGGACCAGACGGACTTAACAGATATATTCAGAACATTTCATCCTAAAGCAGCAGAATATACATTCCTCTCCAGTGCACATGGAACGTTCTCCAGAATCAACCATATACTGGGACACAAATCAGCCCTAAGTAAGTACAAAAAGATCAAGATCGTACCGTGCATATTTTCATACCACAACACTATGAAACTTGAAATCAACCACAAGAAAAAATTTGGAAAGGTAACAAATATTTGGAGACTGAGGAACATCCTACTAAAGAATGAATGGGTTAACCAAGAAGTTAAAGAGGAAATTAAAAAGTATATGGAAATCAATGAATATGATAACACCACAACCCAAAACCTCTGCGATGCAGCAAAGCCAGTCATAAGAGGAACGTATATAGCAATCCAAGCCTTCCTAAAGAACGAAGAAAGATCTCAGATACACAATGTAACCTTACGCCTTAACGAGCTGGAAAAAGAACAGCAAATAAAACCCAAAACCAGCAGAAGACAGGAAATAATAAAGATTAGAGCAGAAATTAATGCTATCAAAACCAAAAAGCAGTAGAACAGATCAGTGAAACAAGAAGCTGGTTTTTTGAAAGAATTAACAAAATTGATAAACCACTAGCCAGTTTGATCAAGAAGGAAAAAGAAAGGACCCAAATAACTAAAATCAAGAATGAAAGAGGAGAGATCACAACCAACACAACAGAAATAAAAACAATAATATGAGAATATTATGAGCAATTATATGCCAATAAAATGGGCAATCTGGAAGAAATGGACAAATTCCTAGAAACATATACACGACCAAAACTGAAACAGGAAGAAGCAGAATTTGAACAGACCCATAACCAGTAAGGAAATCGAATTTGAAATAAAAAATATTCCAAAAATCAGAGTCCAGGGCCAGATGGCTTTCCAGGGGAATTCTACCAAACATTTAAGGAAGAGTTAACACTTTCTCTTGAAGGTATTCCAAAAAATAGAAATGGAAGGAAAACTTCCAAACTCTTGCTATGAAGCCAGCATTACCTTGATTCCAAAACCAGACAGAGACCACACTAAAAGGGAAAACTATAGACCAATTGCCCTGACGAACATGGATGCAAAAATCCTCAACAAGATATTAGCCAACCGGCTCCAACAATACATTAAAAAAATTATTCACCATGACCAAGCGGGATTTATACCTGGGATGCAGGGCTGGTTCAATATCCACAAAACAATCAATGTGATTCATCACATCAACAAAAGAGAGGACAAGAACCATAAGATCCTCTCAATAGATGCAGAAAATTCATTTGACAAACCACAGCATCCTTTCTTGATAAAAACCCTCAAGAAAGTAGGGAAAGAAGGATTGCACCTCGAGATCATAAAAGCCATAAAAAACGACCCAACATTAATATCATCCTCAATGGGGAAAAACTGAGATTTCCCCCTAAGGTCAGGAACAAGACAGGGATGTCCACTCTCGCCACTGTTATTCAACATAGTATTGGAAGTCTTAGCTCCACAATCAGACAACACAAAGAAAGAAAAGGCATTCAAATCAGCCAGGAGGAGGTCAAACTTTCACTCTTCGCAGATGACATGATACTCTATATGGAAAACCCAAAAGACTCCACCAAAAAACTGCTAGAACTGATTCATGAATTCAGCAAAGTTGCAGGATATAAAATCAACGCACAGAAATCATTTGCATTCCTATACACCAACAATGAAGCAACAGAAAGAGAAATCAAGGAATCGATCCCATTTACAGTTGAACAAAAAACCATAAAATACTTAGGAATCAATCTAACCAAAGAGGTGAAAAATCTATACACTGAAAACTATAGAACGCTTATGAAATAAATTGAAGACACAAAAAAATGGAAAAAGATTCCATGCTCCTGGATAGGAAGAACAAATATTGTTAAAACGTCAATACTACCCAAAGCAATCTACATATTCAATCCCTATCAAAGTAACACCAGCATTCTTCACAGAGCTGGAAGAAATAATCCTAGAATTTGAATGGAACCAGAAAAGATCCCGAATAGCCAAAGCAATCTTGAAAAAGAAAACCCTTTTCTTTTTCTTGAAAAAAAAAAAAAAGGCATCACAATCCCAGACTTTAAGCTATACTCAAAGCTGTAATCATCAAGACAGTATGGTACTGGCACAAGAACAGACACTCAGATCAATAGAACAGAATAGAGAACCCAGAAATGGACCCACAAACGTATGGCCAACTAATCTTCGACAAAGCAGGAAAGAATATCCAATGGAATAAAGACAGTCTTTTCAGCAAGCGGTGCTGGGAAAACTGGACAGCAACATGCAGAACAATGAACCTGGGCCACTTTCTTACACCAGACACAAAAATAAACTCAAATGAATGAAAGCCCTAAATGTAAGACAGGAAGCCATCAAAATCCTCAAGGAGAAAGCAGGCAAAAACCTCTTTGATCTTGGCTGCAGCAACTTCTTACTCAACATGTCTCCAGAGGCAAGGGAATTAAAAGCAAAAATGAACTACTGGGACCTCATCAAAACAAAAAGCTTCTGCACAGCAAAGGAAACAATTAGCAAAACTAAAAGGCAACCGACAGAATGGGAGAAGATATTTGCAAACGACATATCAGATAAAGGGTTAGTATCCAAAATCTATAAAGAACTTATCAAACTCAACACCCCCAAAAACAAATAATCCAGTGACGAAATGAGCAAAAGACATGAATAGACACTTCTCCCAAGAAGACATCCAGATGGCCAACTGACACATGAAAAAATGCTCAACGTCACTCATCATCAGGGAAATACAAATCAAAACCACAATGAGATACCACCTCACACCTGTCAGAATGGCTAACGTTAACAACTCAGGCAACGACAGATGTTGGCAAGGATGCGGAGAAAGAGGATCTCTTTTGCATTGTTGGTGGGAATGCAAGCTGATGCAGCCCCTGTGGAAAACAGTATGGAGGTTCCTCAAAAAACAAAATAGTACTACCCTATGACCCAGCAATTGCACTACTAGTCATTTGTCCACGGGATACAGTTATATTTTTTCGAAGGGATACATGCACCCCCATGTTTATAGCAGCACTAGCAACAATAGCCAAAGTATGGAAAGAGCCCAAATGTCCATCGATGGATGAATGGATAAATAACATGTGGTATATGTGTATACACACACACACACACACACACACACACACACACACAATGGAATATTACTCAGTAATCGAAAAGAATGAAATCTTGCTATATGCAACTACATGGATGGAACTGGAACTGGATTTCACTTATGCTAAGTGAAATTAGTCAGAGAAAGACAAAAATCCTATGACTTCACCCATATGAGAGCTTTAAGAAACAAAACAGATGAACATAAGGGAAGGGAAACAAACATAATATGAAACAGGGAGGGGGACAAAACAGAAGAGACTCATAAATATGGAGAACAAAGTGAGGGTTATTGGAGGCGTTTGTGAGGGGGGATGGGCTAAATGGGTAAGGGGCATTAAGGAATCTACTCCTGAAATCATTGTTGCACTAGATGCTAACTAATTTGGATGTAAATTTAAAAAAATAAAAAATAAAATAAGTTAAAAAAATAAAAATAAAATAAACTGGTTTTGAAACATGGGTGCAATTTGCTCAAGCAGTAAAAGAGGTGAAAGGGTGCAGTTAAGAACACTTATAGCATTACATTTCTGGGGGAGAAAAACCCTGAATAAGTTAAAATTTTCTCTAATACTGCTGAAATCACACCATCTCCTTACTGCTGCTGTTGCAGCAGTTGGCTTGTAAATTCTATCAAAAAAAAAAGATCAAAGAGTACTCCGGAGATACCTAGAATAGACAGTTACAAACAGAAAATGTAAAATATATGATATTTATATTATTTTTCTTTAAAATCTTTTTTGCTTTTGATGTATCTTGTCATCAATAATGTATAATATTTCTAAATTCCTATGGAATTTGAAAATCCACTGCTAACATACATATTGTCAGAAGTTTGTAAGAATAAATTATTAAATACAAAAATACCATTTTCTTTAGGAAAAATACCTACTCCAAAATTAGGTATTGTAAATTCAATTAACAGCATCCACAACATAACTCTCATGGAAACTTCCAATTCTTTATTTGCACATTTTTTAAACTTATTTTTTTTAATTTTTTAATGTTTATTAATTTTTGAGAGAGACATAGACAGAGACAGAGTATGAGTGGGGAAGGGGCAGAAAGAGAGGCAGACACAGAATCCAAAGCAGTCTCCAGGCTCTGAGCTGTCAGCACAGAGCCAGACGCGGGAGATGAACCCACAAACCATGAGATCATGACCTGAGTTGAAGTCAGACGCTTAACCGACTGAGACACCCAGGCGCCCTTTACCTGCACATTTTTAATACTATCATTTTTCCTTTCCAACCACCACCTAAAACACACACACTTCACCATTGCCACAATCTATATAAACATGATGCAGTTCTTTACGGTACCCTCCATAAAAGATATAGATACTTTATAATCAACACATGTACTAAATAAATGCTGGAGTATAAGAGGTAGTCCTGATTCATATTTTGCATCTTTACACCAACTTGGCAGCAATCTCTTGACCTTGGTATATATTATGAATATATCATTTTTTTAATGGAAGATAACTTTAATTGGCTTCTTAATGTACCACATAAAGGCCACACTCTTAGCCCTGCCATTCTCAGTCTACTTTTAGTCCCCATTCACTTCTTCAGCCTTCTCTGCCTACTTCCCAATAAGATCTAATATTAAAATGAAGACAGAAATAAACACATAGGAGAGAAAAAAATTATAACTCACCCTCTCCATTATTAGCTGGGAATATCTTAAGGTCAAATAGGTATGAAGGTCCAGCCCTTTGTTTTCATTTCCAGGTGGTTAGATCAGGGATTGATTCTCTGTTAAAGTAACATGTCCTCAACCTTAAGCTTGTTAATTTGAGTGCCTTGGGAATGGGTATTATAAATGGAAAAATATGAATATCTGTTTCTCGGATCTGACATAAAAATGTAATCAATTTAGGCTTTTTATTTTTGGCATGAGGCACTGATGACTCCATTACATTAAAAACTCAGATACGACGATCCTTGGGCAATATAATATGAAAATTTTTCTTTTAGAATGGGGTAGCTATCATGAGGGAACAAACAAGGTCTGGCTTGGAATATCTTTTCAAAAATTTTTCTTTTAGAATCACAATCATGATGCACAAATAAACTTTTCTAACATTTTGCCAGCCAATGTTCTCTGACTTAACTACTAAAAAGGTGAGCATGGATCCTATAGGTTCTCATAGTAAGCTACTAGAAATCATTGTTGTATGAATGAATAAATGAAAATGTTTTAGCCATATTTCTTTTTTTAAATATGAAATTTATTGTCAAATTGGTTTCCATACAACACCCAGTGCTCATCCCAACAGGTGCCCTCCTCAATTCCCCTCACCTGCCCTCTCCTCCCTCCCACCCCCCATCAACCCTCAGTTTGTTCTCAGTTTTTAAGTCTCTTATGTTTTGGCTCCCTCCCTCTCGAACCTCTTTTTTTTTTTCTTCCCCTCCCCCATGGTCTTCTGTTAAGTTTCTCAGGATCCACAAAAGAGTGAAAACATATGGTATCTGTCTTTCTCTGTATGACATTTCACTTAGCATAACACTCTCCAGTTCCAACCACATTGCTACAAAAGGCCATAGTTTGTTCTTTCTCATTGCCACGTAGTATTCCATTGTGTATATAAACCACAATTTCCTTATCCATTCATCAGTTGAAGGACATTTAGGCTTTCCATTATTTGCTTTAGCCATATTTCTGAGCTTGTTTCAAGACTGATAATAACTTGCTCTGCTTCTAGCCCTGGAACTCCTTTTCACCACTATTACTATTCGTCAACATCATCCAAATCCACTGATGCTGAGCCTTTCCCAGTTCTGCAGCCCATTTGGCCTCTCCTGAATTCACTTACTTCCTTTTCCAGCCTGCACAGCACGATCAATGATCTCAACTATGTTTTCACCAATACAGTCACAGCTCCTTAATTCACTCTCCCTTCCATTTAACTTGCCTTACCAGTCCCTAACTCTGATTTCAACCTTTTAAATTTATATAGACTTTCTTTGCCTAAGATTTTGAACTACTAATGTTTTTAGCTGACAGTTTTTCTTTGTTAGCTTAAAGAGAAGAAAATATTAATAGAGTTGTTTTAATAAACATGTACTGTATGTGAACAGGATGAAAAGCACTCTACTAGACACTATATAGAATAAAAATCTAAGACACAGTCTCTTCAAGTCTCTT